TTAAAAGGAGAGCTGTTGGTGAGTTGTAACGTTACTTTACCATTATCAGCAGAGTCTAGATCTCGTGCACTGATCAAAGCCACTACGGTGCCACTTGGTGCGTCTTCACGTATTGGCTTTGGCTGAGAGGTGAAAACTATTTCAGGAGCGTTATCGTTAAAATCAGTAATGTCAACCTGCACACGACAGTGACCCTCCATTTGAGGACTACCTTTATCTTTTGCAGTCACATCAATGTCATATGACTTGGCAGTTTCATAGTCTAACTCCCCTTTCAATGTGATTTCACCTGTTAAGGCGTTAATATCAAAGACTGACAACACAGAATCTGGTGTCCGAGAGCCGAATGAGAATTCAAATTCGCCATTTAAACCTTCATCTGCGTCTGTTGCTTTGGGCTTAATAATAACGGCTCCTTTTAAACTTTTTTCACCCAAGGATACTTTGTAAACGTTCTTTTCAAAAACTGGAAAATTATCATTTATGTCAAGAACGCTTATGGTGATTTGTGTAGTTCCAGATCTTACTGGATTTCCTCCATCCAATGCTGTTAGTAATATTTTGTGAACAGACCTTTTCTCTCTATCTAGAGGTTTTTCTAAAACCAGCTCCGGAACCGTTTTACCGCCCTCAATTTCTTTTATCTTGAGGGAACAACAGTCGTTTTTACTGAGTGTATATGATTTGAGTGAATTGCTTCCAACGTCTGGATCCGTTGCGCTCTCCAAAGGAAAGCGCGTTCCGACTGCTGCTGATTCGGCTATATTTAAAGATAATTCATTTGAGAGAAAACTGGGAGAATTGTCATTTATATCTCGTATTTCGACCTCAATTCGGTGTAACTGTAACGGGTCCTCAATAACTACTTGCAAAGGTAGAACACAGCTGGCGCTTTGTCCGCATAAAGCCTCTCTGTCTATTCTGTCATTCACCACCAGCTCGCCCTTCCCCGCATCCACATTGAAATACTGCTCACCAGCCTCAGAGGCGACGCGCAGTTTACGGTCAAAAATATCTGATAGTCCCAAACCCAAATCTTTGGCTAGATTTCCTACCACAGAGCCCTGTTTCAGCTCCTCTGTGATGCTGTAACGAGTCTGTCCGTCTATTGTAATCCACAAGAGAAAGAAATGATGCCACCAAAGCGCCTGCCATCTCCAGTCTCGGTATCCTTTTCTCTTTGTCATCCCTGATTCAGTTAAAGATGTCATTTCCATTCCACAGGAACAGAGATCATAAATCCAAAACCCATACTCCAAGAGGGTTACACATCCCGTTAGAATGATGCCTCTTCATTGTCAAAGAATAAATTAAGATAAAACCTCATAGTCCAAGTGTATGAACCATTTACCTACTCTCCTCCGACTCCGAGCATTGTGGTTGCTGAGGCTGCATGGGGGAGGGAGTAGATCTCTTTGTACAGTTCTCAATGCTATTGGTGCGCAGCATCCATCGCTGACATCCAATGAGGGAGAAACGGAGCAGCACCGTTAAAGACACAATATCCTTTTTGGAGTCATGACAGAAGTATTGAAGCTCAATAGGGACATTCTCTGTAAACTTTTCATGAGATGGGGGAGTATGAAACAAACAAAAATAATAATTGTCCGTATATCAAAAAATATATTAATTGTTAAAATTTAATTTAACTACAAGTAAATGAATCTCCGTGTTTGTTTATTCTGTTTTTCCTCTCCCTACAAGTGCGTATCGTTTATGAAGGCCAGTAACTAAATGCAGGGAATAAAATAAATTAAATTAGTTAGCTGTGAGTTTATGTTCATGTGTTTTCGTTCATTCAGTCAGTAAAGCATTCATTCATCTGTTACACTGAGTAAATGTCACTAAATGCAATCAGTTTCAACAGTGAGGTGCCCTCAGCATGCCTCATGGGTGAGCGGCGCTGTCCAACCCTGCGGTGCTGAAATGTTCAGCTCGAAAACATCCACTACACGTCTCTTGTCACATGACAAAAAGAAAGAAAGAAGGAAAAGAAAACTCTGCCAAACAAACGTTATTAATGGTAACGAGACAAACCAGATTTGTTTTAATGCATCTGAGGCTATTATTTTTAACTTAAAATATATAGACGAGGATAAAAAAAAATAAAAAATACAAGATTTGCTGAATTGCTTTGTTCTCATGATTTCTGGCTGAAGCTGTTCACAGCTTTCAAATTAAGTAAACGATTTAATTTCTTTGAAGCCAATGTAGCACAATGATGTTACAATATAAAGTTTTCACCTTTTGTATTACTCTCGACTCACGTGCTTTCAATCAGAGGTCTAAAATTACTATGTTGCTTATAAGCAAAATCCACAATAAGCTGTCATATGCTCACCTGCTGGCTCTCAAAGGTCCAGGTGCTGTCCGGTAAAGACGCATCCAGGACACTGATCAC